CTTAGTTGAGATCTCTTTGATCCACTCTGCCCACTATTGTATGTGTCACTAGATTTCAGATTTAATCTAGACATTAACACAGACTTATAGTTCCTCAAGTTTCTCTACATCAACAACCATCTATATTATACTTCAGTAAATTATTTATTAAGTAAACCGTTTAATGGCAACTTCCTAATTTTCAACCCCATCCTATCTTTACACAAAATCTGTTCTTCATTCTTGTGAAAATATAGCTTAATACTATCATACCTAGTTTATCAGCTGTTTCCTTTGACCCCCATCCAACTTGAACCCATAGTTACACATTTCAAATATACACACTAGTACTCTTAAAGCATTTGCCTGGTCCACTTTACTTCGTAAACCAAACATGTTGACCCCTAAGGATGGTGTTCTTGCTCCTAAATTGCTGAGCATTGGGACAGAAAACGGTTTAATTTTACAGATTCCTCACTAAGTTGGGTGTTCTGGTTTCAAAAGGGATCCTCAATACTATATGGTATCCAATTAGTCTTCCCATTCCCATTGCTCCTCGGGGAAAATAAATAAAAACTGTGATCATGAACCTGCTTGTTTCTTCCCTTTATCTATCCTGGTTGCACACTAAGGTTACATAGATCGTGTGTTTGTAAATGCCACAACCTTGGGGCCTTCCCAAAACAATTAAATCACAATGTCTGTGTTTGGGAACCATACATTCGCTCTACATTTTTTGTTTCTAAAGTTCTGTTCTTTCTCTCTTTCTAACAAACCACCCCCGCCCTGATCCACAAATCATTTTAACTTTTTCTAATAACTTCAGATCATTTTGTCTCATAAATCTAAAACTATTCTGAAATGTAAAATTGTATTACAAAATAGGCTATAATAAGCAAACAAAGAACAGGTTATTTTGAGCTGTGTCATTTAAAAATTAAGGGTCCAGCCCTGGCCAGTATGGTTCAGTTCGTTGGAGAGTCATTCCATACGCCAAAAGGTGGTGGGTTTGATTCCCGATTAGGGCACTATCCAGATTGCTGGTTCGATCCCCAGTCAGGGCGCATGTGGGAGGCAACCAATCAATATTTCTCTCTCACATCGACGTTTCTGTTTCCTTCTTCCTCCCTTCTTCTAAGATCATTTTTTTTTAAATTAATGGTCCATATTTAACAATTAATTTAACAACATAATGCATTAAATAAAATGTTACCCAGAGGATGTATCATTTAACACTATGTTATAGTTAATATTATCAGAATACAAACAATTATGTGTAACTGTGAAATAAATACTTGGATAATAAAGTACTTCTAGACTACACCTACCAGAAATACAATGATCAAATAAATGTATTTTTTTTCACAGAGTGGTGAATATAGGTAATCAATGACTTCAATTTTTAGGAGCAAGCAAATGATTTCCCAAAAATATAGATAGTATTATAGCATGTTAGAAGACATTTTGTATTTTTAGAGAAAACTGAACTCTTACCCCAAAATGTCAATTCAGGTGGTATTTTTGCCTACGTAGGGCATCACGGCATCCCTTAAGGTATATCCCTTCCCTACCCATATGTGCTGGCCCAGCTCTAGCACCAGTATTAATGCTCCCTGGAATACTGGTCCTCAAATGTGATAGGAGGGGAAACTGGAATCATCTGAAGTGCTGTTTTTCAAAATACTTTTGTTCACCGTCTTCTCTATCCACATTTACCCATGCTTCAATAAACACTCATTATTAGGTTGTGATATGACCCTTCTTGAAAATTTGGGAACACTGTAATTCCCTTTCTGCAAGTCCATATGAACAAAACTGTTTTATTTTCGTTGACCTATGTCACCAATAACTTCCTTTTCCACTAGAGCTCTAGGTGATTCAGAAATCTAAACCGGTCCACAGATGAGTATACAATGTGCAGAGTCTGGGTGTGGAGCCACCACACAAAGAGCAATTGTTCCTGGGAAAGAGTGGTCAGTGCTCCACCAAGAAGAAACAGACACCCTGAGGTGTCCTTAACCACTGAGGAAATGGAACATGAGATGTCAAGTTACCTGAAAAAAAATCTCCAGGCCCAAATGGTTTGACTGGAGAATTCTATCAAACATTTAAAGAAGTAGTAACACAGTCTTCTAAAGATATGTAATTTTTCACAATCTCTACCAGAAAAATAAATAAGGAGGCAACATTTTCCAACTCACTTTATGAAGCCAATTATTACCGTGCTATCAAAACTAGGCAAAACAGCATCGAATGATATAAAAATGATACAGATCAATATCTATCATAAACTTAGACACAAAAATTTTCAACAAAATCTTAGCAAATATTGGCCTGGCCGGTTTGACTCAGCAGTAGAGCATCAGCTGGCAGACCATTGAGTCTCGGGTTCGATTCGGTCAAGGGGACGTACCTTGGTTGCAGTTTGGTCCCCAGCCCTAGTCAGGGTCCTGCGGGAGGCAGCCAGTCGATGTGTCTCTCTCACACCAATGTTTCTTTCTCTCTCTCCCTCTTTCTCTTTCTCTCTCCCTCCTCCCCACCCTATCTGAAGATAAATGGAAAAGAAAATATCCTCAGGTGAAGATTAAAAAATAAAATAAAAAAGAAAACAAAAACTAAAAAAATAAAATTAGCAAATATAATCCAGCAATGCACAAAAAGAATAATATACCACAATTAAACAGGATTTATTCCAAATTGAAAGACTGGTCCAACAATTGAAAACCAGGCAGTATAGCCACCATATCAACAAGCTAAAGCAGCAAAATCATAAAAATTCACATCAATTCATACCAACCAATTCACAAAAACATGACAAAACCCAATACTCACTCAGGATAAAAACTCTTAGCAAACTCTGAATAAAAAACTTCCCCAATTTGATAAAGGACATCTATAAAAATCCTACTGCTATATCATACGTAATGAGGAAAGACTGAATACTTTTTCCCAAAGTTTGGATCAAAATGTAAAACAAAACTTCTAGAAAAAAACTGGGGCAATCTAGGGCTAAACAAAGAGTTCTTCAATTTGACAAGAAAAGGAAAAACTGTAAAAGGAAAAAGTGATGAAAATAGACCTCATCAGAATTAAAATCTGCAAAGACCCCGTTATGAGCATGAAAAGAAAGCCATGGACTAGAAGAAAATATCCGAAAACCACATACCTGACAAAGAGCTGGAATCTGCAATATGTAAAAAATACTCTGAACATTCCAATTAGAATTGGGCAAAAGGCATGAACAGATATTTCACTGAAGAAGACATATGGATGACAAATAAGCATGTGAAACAATGTTCAACAAGAGAAATAAGTACTTAAAAAGATGTCCAATATCATCAGCCATTGGAGAAATGCAAAATAAAACCACAGTTAGATAGTATTCCATCCCTATCAGAATGGCTAAAATAAACCTGGCCGGTGTGGCTCAGTGGTTGAGTGTCGGATCACCGGTTCGATTCCTGGTCAGGGCACATGCCCAGGTTGTGGGCCTGAGCCCCTATAGGGAGCATGCAGGAGGTGGCCAATTGATGTTCTCTTTCATCAATGTTTCTATCTCTCTCTCCCTCTCCTTTCCTCTCTCTCTAAAATCAATAAAAATTTTTAAAAAGTAAAATAGTGACACTACATGCTGGTGAGGAGATGGAAAAACTACCTCACTTATACACTGCTGGTGGATACGCAGATGACACATCCACTCTGGAAAACATTTTGACAGTTTCTTGTACAGCTGACCATGTAACCACTATACAACCCAAGTACTACACCGGCCGGTGTTCATCCCAGAGAAGTAAAAACTTAAGTTCACACAAGAACCTGTACAAGAATTTCCATAGCAGCTGTATATGTAATAGCCAAAAGCTAGAAACAATGCTGATGTCCTTTAACAGATGGATGGTTACACAAACTGTGGTACACTGTATCATAAAATATTACTCAACAATAAAAATAAACTATTGATAAATGCAACAACTTGGATGGATTTTGAGGGAATTATAATAATAAAAACCAAACCGAAAAGGTCATACACTGCATAATTCATTTACATAACAGTCTTCACAAAATACAGAACTGGAGAACAAATTCTGGAGGTGGAGACTAGACTGGATGTGTGGGGGTGGCAATAAGGGGCAACAGGAGAGATTCTTATAGGGATGGAACTGCTCTGTATTTTGACTGTATTAATACCAACACCCTGCTTGTGATATTGTACTATAATTCTGCAAGACGTTACTACTGTAGGACAGATAAAAAGTATATGATTTATTTCTATTATTTCTTACAATTGCATGTGAACCTACAATTATCTCAAAATAAAAATTTTAATTAAAAAGCAGCATTTTGTTAGTCCAGCTGGTGTGGCTCAGTGGTTGAGCATCAACCCATGTACCAAAAGGTCACTGGTTCAACTCCCGGTCAGGGCACATGCCCAGGTTGTGGGCCTGATCCCCAATGGGGGGTATGCAGGAGGCATCCAATCAATGTCCTCTCTCATTGCTATTTCTCTCTCTCCCTCTCACTTCCTCTCTCTCTAAATCAATAAAGAAAAAAATTTTTAAGTAAAATAAAAAACAGCATTTGTTACATATGTATTATATTTGTACTTCTCCAAAATCTGCCTTAGAATGTTCCTACTGAAAAACATTTCATGCATTTCCAATTGTTTACTTCTCTTTGGTAGGAAGCAAGTTCTAATTACAAGATATAATTAGGTGACCTACAAAGCAATATTAAAACCAAATTCTATCACATTCTTACCTTTATATAAGACATAGAAATAACAAATATTTTTCATGATTATATGTGGAAATGGTCAATAAATGGTTTAAAAGTTAAAAGAATATTGTCCTACCCATACCATTTCCTAGAATACAATGATTTTTAACTTACTTTTAAATGCTCATAGTTACATTGGGTACAACACTGAACAATTGTTTAATTCTATTATGGACACTTATCTTACATATAATAAATATATAAGCATGGAATAGTTTTTTAAAATTTTGAAATGCATTAATTACCTGCACACAGAGCATTGTCGCTGAGGCTGAAGAGCCGTGAACATAACAATCATAGAATAGTTTCGAGGTGGTGCCTTTATGAATTTGCGGAATTTGTCGCCATTCATTCGGAAGATTGAGCGCCTGGAACTCCATTCCATCAGCTGTTCTACCTTCTCGGCTAACAGATTCTGCAATTAAACACAGGAATTTATGTTTACACTGGGTTCAAGTTCTTCAGTTCCATTTCATATAAACAGAATTACATGAGATTACATGTTAGCCAACATTATTTTCTGTTCAAGGTCCTTGTTTGGGTGAAGAACACCTCATCCGAGTAATCAGTGTGAACCATACCAGGAACAGGACACATCAGCATCACGTTGTCCCTGATGATCCACTGATGAGAGCACATCACTTCCGTGGTATTCTTGGCAAAGAAAGTAAACCTCAGTCTAATCATGAGAAAACATTCCACTCCCCCAAGTTTAGTACCGTTCCACAAAATAACGACCAGAACTCTTCAGGGGTCGTTCCTGAAAGCCCAGGGAAGTCCGAGGCACTGTCAACCCGGAGAAGACTAAGGAGACGTGACAACTACTGCAGCGCGGAAGGATCCCTGGGATGGGTCCCGACACAGGGAAGGGACATTAACGAAACTGGTGAAGTCTGAATAATGTCTGTGGGTTAGTTAGTAATACTGAACCAAACAATGTTAATTTCTCGTTTTTGATCATTGCATATTGTTAACCATAGGAGAAACCAAGGGAAAGGCTTATGGGAACTCTGTATAATTTTTGTTCTGTAAGTTTAAAATTATTTCAAAATGAAAAATATATATATATATAATCATGTTATATAAATTGATTAAAGTTTTTAAATGTACTCGTTTTACCTATTGGTCAGTCTAGGCGGGGATGGAAGCTTCCGTGCTGTGAGTGCAGAGAGATTGCAGCCTAATGCTGCTTTATATTGGCACATTTTCAAAACGAAAAACTACTTTTAATTTGTGAAAGTATTATGACCAGAATTGTAAAGGTGGAAAAAAAAGGAACCATTCAGGCAAAACTCTTAGCTCCAGAGACTTGCAGACTTGTTGGGAAGCATGCCCCGAAGAAACTGAAGCACAGTTCCAAAGTGCATGTGCTTTGCATGCGGAGACAGCTCTCCTAATTCAAAATATGCTCTGATTATCTACTGTGTGCCGGCCTAGGTTCGGGACCTGAGAATATGAGACTAAATATGGCACAGCCCCTTCTTTCACTGATTCTACAGAGTGATGTTTCTCAAGTTTCAATAGTGTACTAATCCCTTTCAAAGAAAATACATTCTTGCAGCCTCTTCTCCCAGATGTCTTCATTATTTTTAGGATGTTATTCTAATATGTAGAAATCTAATAGATACAAACTCCTTATCATTCTATCACACATAACTAAAGTAAGACAAATTTAGAACTATTTACTAAGCTGTCAAAATGTATATTCATAGAATCAAACATCAATTTAATATGATAAGTGATGATGTTTAATGAGAACTAAAATGGTACTTGTTATTTGCAAACAGTACTGTCAGTGAAGGTACACATTCTTCATATTGCTTTTGCAATGACTTATTCTTTTTGCCACTTGGTGAGATAATTGTGTTATAAAGGAAAATGGAAGCCAAATCATAAAAGCTTTACAAAGTTAAAGGCTAAGCCAACATATGGAAACAACCTGAGGGTCTATCAACACATGAATGGATAAAGAAAATGTGACACAAACACACAGGAAATTATTGGATATTACTCAGTCTTCAAAAAAAGAAAATCTTAATGGACAGAGACAATAGTGTGGGGAAGGCAGGAGTGGGGAGGAGAGGGTTAAAGGGGGGACATGTATAATCCTTTCAATAATGAAGATAAATTAAAATAATAATGATAAGGAAATCCTGCCATTTTCAACAAAATGGATGAACCTGGAGGACACTATGCTAAGGGAAATAAGCTAGACACAGAAAGACAAATGCTACCTGCAGAATCTGAAAAAAAGAAGGAAAAAAAAATCAAATTCATAGTAACAGAGTAGAATGGTGGTTACCAAAAAGCTGGGAAGAGGGGGACATTGATCACATGGTGCAAACTTTCAGTTATCAGATGAGTAAAGTAAGTTCTGGAAATCTAATGTACAGCATGGTTACATTAATAATAATAATGTACCTGAGAGAATATTAATGTCTGGTATCCTCCCATTTTAAAAAGGTAACCATGGGAGGTGATGGACATGCTAATTAGTTTCATTGTGGTAATCATTCCACAATGTATACAAAAATAAAAACCTCACAATATATATCTTAAATATATAAAATTTTTATTTGTCAAAACTAAAGTTAAATTTACCTAATAAACAAACATTTAATTTAAAAAGTTAAGGGCTAAGGACTTCAGCTTGAGCGAGATCCCTCAGGGTGCAAGGCTGAGCACGGACTGGAGGAGGGAAGCTCGAAGACCAAGAAGTCAGCGAGAGGCAGCAGAAGTCAACGTCAGATGCTGGTGGCAGGGGAGAAAAGTGAAGAGACTGAGAGATGTGTAGGCATCCAGTTCGGCAGGACTTGGTGACCACAGAGGAGCGAGATGGAGGAGTCCAGGATGACATTCGAGTTGTGGCTTTGGGCATGTGAGGGAATAATTTTCTCACTAAGACAGCGGAACTCAGGTGGAAGAGCTGGCCTGTAAGGAACTGAGTTCAGTTTGGGATGTTGATTTGATGTGCTATGAGTCTGTTTATTTGGTTTTTTAGATTCCATATATAAGTGAAATCATAAGGTATTTGTCTTTCTCTGACTTATTTCATCACGTAGTATAATACCCTCTAGGTCCATCCATGTTGTTGCAAATGGTAAGATTTCATTCTATTTTAATGGCCAAATACTATTCCATTGTTTATATGTATCACACTTTATCCAGTCATCTCTTGATGAGCACAACATCTTGGCTATTGTGAATAATGCTGCAATGAACATAGGGAAGCATGCATTTATCAAATTAGTGTTCTGGATTTCTTCAGATAGATACTCAGAAGTGGAGTTGCTGGGTCACATAGTAGTTCCATTTTTAAATTTTTGAGGCCCCTCCATACTGTTTTCTATAGTGGCTGCACCAATTTGCAATCCCACCAACAGTGCACAAGGGTTTCCTTTTCTCCACATCCTAAATAACACTTACTGTTTGTTTGTTTGTTGATGGCAGCCATTCTGACAAGTAGGAGGTGACACTGCATTGTTGTTTTAACTTGCATATCTCTGATGATTAGTGTCACTGAGCATCTTTTCATATGTGTACTGGCCATCTGTATGTTCTATTTGGAGAAATGTCTGTTCAGGGCCTCTGCCCATTTTTTAATTGGATAGTTTGCTTTTTGTTTTGTTGGGGTCTTTTTTTTTTTTTTTGATGTTAGGTTGTATGAGTTCTTTATAAATTTTGGATATTAACTCCTTATCAAATGTATCGTTGGTGAACATCTTCTCCCATTTGGTAGATGGTCTTTTTGTTTTACTGATGGTTTCCTTTGCTGTGCAAAAACGTTTTAGTTTAATGTAGTCCTATTGGTTTATTTTTTATTTTGTTTCCCTTGCACAAGGAGTTATATCCAAAATATATAAGTAAGAGCAATGCCAAACAGCTCACTGCCCATGTTTTCTTCTAGGAGTTTTATGGCTTTGGGTTTTACATTTAAGTCTTTAATCTACTCTGAGTTTATTCTTGTGTATGGTGTAAACTGGTGGTCTAGCTGTGTTGTTTTATTTGTTGTTTGTTTGTTTGTTTGTTTGTTTGTTTTGTATGTATCTGTCTAGTTTTCCCAGCACAGTTTATTGAAGGCACTGTCTTTACCTTACTGTATGCTCCTGCCTCCTTTGTCAAATATTAATTGACCATAAGCCTTGGGTTGATTTCTGGGCTCTCTATTCTGTTCCACTGATCTATTCAACATACTAAAGCCTAAATAGGACAGATTCACAGCTAACATTATACTCAGTGGTGCAAAGCTAAAAACATTTCCCTTAAAATCCGGAATAAGACAATGATATCCACTTTCACCACTTTTATTCAACATATTATTGGAAGTTCTAGACACAGCAGTCAGACAAGAAGAAGAAATTAAAGGGATCAAAACTGGAAAGGAAGACATAGAACTGTCATTATTTGCAAATGACATGATACTATAAATAGAGAACCCTAAAAATTCCACCAAAAAACTACTAGAGCTGATAAATAAATTCAGTCAAATAGGATACAAAATTAATATTCAGAAATCAGTTGAATTTTTGTAAATCAGTAATCAACTATCAGAAATATATTAAGAAAACAATTGTATAAAAATACCTAATAATACCTAGTAATAAATTTAAACAAGGAGGTAAAACACCTGTACTCCAAAAATTGTAAGATACCTCATATATTTTATACCTGGACTGGGAGTACCAAAGATTCGGTCTTTTTCTTAACCTATTTCTTGCATAGTTCTAACATGAAGACTAAGTTGAGAAGCCACTGCTTTATTCAATCTCAGGAACACGGCACTTTTTTTACAGCACCCGGCGGAGCACAGGAGAAACACCTCCTTTACCCTCTTCCAAGGTCCCTCCTTAGTGAGTTTATCCTTGTCCCAAAGAGCCAACTCAAACATAACCCACAAGCACGACTTCCTTCCTAAAGCCACCTGGGGACTATCAGTCCCTACTTTGTAGAAACTTCTACTAGACCACCTACCACACTCATCATGATCGCTCAATACATTCTCAGTTCCTCAAGGGCAAAAATCATGTCTTATGACCTTTGTAGTCCTAGATTCTTGAAAAGTCCAAAGGACATAATAGATAACTGAAGCTGTACGTAACTGAAGTAAGAATTCTGCTGCCCTTAAATTAGAAAATTTTAACAAAAATTTAGGGGATATTTCTAAATTCTCTCTACAAGTACAATATAAAGATAGGAAAGAACCAAAAATATTTCTAAGTGAGCTCTGGTAGTTTTAACATATTTAAATTTCCTTTAAAAATCACTAAAACAGATGGGTATTCTATAAACATGTCAGAGGCAAATTTCTAAAAGTTTAAACTTTATATACAAATATTTATCACTATTTATAAACTTCTAAAATTGAAATTAAGAAAGAACAAGACCTCTCCTTTTTTTTTTTTGAGTATTCATTTC